ATATAATCTGTCTTAATGAAACATCATTTAAATTAATACGTCACTAATTTCTTCAGCAGATATTATGTTTCCTCGTAAGACACTCAATGCGATTGATAAGCTGATTTGATTCAGCTTTTTTAAATTTTCTTTCCTTAAATATCGATACAGAAACAAATACTTTGATTGAAGTTCAAGTTTATCAATAGCTGCAATTAAGGACTTGGTTCTTTAAAAACGTGCTACTTCATATGATCCTGTAATAAGTAATAATAATCTGATGTTACTTTTGTTAATAGCTACAACGTAAAAGGATTATTTAGAATAATAATAATAATAATACTTATTATTATTATTATTTTATGATTATATCTTATTATTTCATTTTATTTAACATATTATTATTTTACTCACTGTTCATATCAGTTGTAACTGGTTATTTAGACAAGGGATTAATTGGCAGTAAGTTTCTACAATAACCCCAGACTCTTCTCAGTTGGTGTCTGGCTCTTCTCAGGTCTTCCCAATGATCTGTTGTTCCTTCACTCTTTTGAGTTTCAGGACTGCTTTTGATACTACGAAAACGAGTAGTACAATGGTCTCTTTGTATACATCTATCCACTTTCTTTCAAGTTTTCGATATTTATCGACATTTTTCTTTGGATTTATTCTGTTGTATTCCGAAAAACAGAAATCCACTAATAGATTCTTATTAATCCAGATGAGTAAATATTGTTCTAGTCTAGACTGGCTAATCGATTTAAATCTTATTTCCAGTTAATTTTATGGTTTCATTAAATGAAATTTTACGAGTCTTTTGGATTAGCCGCCACCCTGCTTTGAACAAGCCCCTTGGCACTGTTACAACGATCTGTGTGACTGGCTGAAAACGAACCAATCAGAAGGCCCCTTACTAAAGCGGCTACGTCCCGATTTGAATCTTTTCCCTCTTTCCTACGTTGGTTTTCAACGAATAGCACGTACCAAAAAATAAACTACTCTAGGAAAAAACTTCACCTACTGTTGTGGCCTTGTTAGGGCCAGAAATAAAGACACAAGAGAGGAATTGAGTTAAACAAATATATTAACAGAAACAGTAATACAAACATATACAAACGAGAGTGTTATACCAAGAATGTTCGGTCCGACTCTCAGAGCTGACTGCTGCAAACTTCCCTCCCTAAAAGGCAGTACCTGCTCCTATTTATAGCTGGGAGACTCCGTGCGTGCATGGGTAAATTACCATAACACTTACAGATCTGTGGAATCCGGGATTGTAGATGTTACTCCATGTAAAGAAATATCTTTTCAACCCTTAGGAATTCCGGACTTCGAAACATCGCCGCCACCACCCCAATAACAAGAAATCACAAGAATCTCAATGAACTGTTAACAGGACGTTTCTTTTCTGTGACATGATAATAATCAATATCATAATATATATCATATTTTTCATATATATAAAAATATCATATTTTTCAACACCAATAACATGTTTTTTGTATTTGTTTAAAGCTTGGACCCCCAGGGATTCCTTCAATGAGTCTATCGGAACCTTTTTCAAATCAATCCGAAGGCGCCAACTACAAATGGAATTTTTAATGACCACATGTGCGACGTTTTTTAGATTTAGATTTCAAGATTCTTGTATTTAAATAATTTTTGAAAATCTTCAAAGATACGTTACATTCTGCAGGGACTGTCATGTCAATAAGAAGTCACATTTTGTTTTGCGGTCTCTGATCACGATGTCTGGGCGATTAGCTTTGGTGTGAGTTTAGGTATAATGTGGTTTTCCACATTCCCATGCTGTCTTTAAGGAAATTTACTATTACGGGGGAGACTTTGTATATTTCCAAAGTCTTAAGGATCCAGAAGTATGGCACAATATCAAAAGCTTTACGGTAATCCTTCCATGTTGTGCAGAGATTTCTACATCCTTTTCTGCGGTTTTCCAAGATCATTTTGTTTATCAATAGTTGATCTTTGCAACCATATTAACCTCTCCTGCATCCCTTTTGTTCCAGGGGAAGAATGTTGTTCGTCAGAACAGATGTGTTCAAATAAATCTGTTTCAACCGTTTTTGCTAGGAGATATGTAATACCTTCAGTGATCCATTTTGGGACATCATTGGGATTATTAATTAGCATTTGTTATTTCCTGGGGATTTCCATTTTGGGGATTTCCTTAGAGGTTGACTGACATTATTCTCGGTTATATTTTCCTATTCTTGTAGAGGTTTATCCATCATTCTTTCTTCTCGTTGGATCCATTCTGCATTGAGATTATATTCTTTTAGGCTGCTCCAAATATTCTCCTAAAATTTTTCCACTTTTACATTGCTATTTCTTTTGATTTCTGTTGTATACACATTTCCTTCCATTTGCTAACCAGAGACCTAAGCTCAGTCTTGGCTTTATGAAATTTCATTTTCCACTGAGCTTATAATTTGTCTCCATATTATTGTTTAGTTCATGCATAAGGGTGATTAAGGATTGACAAAACAGAAGGGGTGACAGGTAGTCTCATTCAAAGATTCCTTGCCGAGTATTCAGGTGGTTGGTAGTGGCAGTGCTTTTGGTGTGATCTAGGTATAATGTGGTTTCCAAATTCCCATGCTGTCTTTAAGGAAATTTACTGCCACCGAGAGAACTTTGTACTTTTAAGGATCAAGGGGTATGACATTGCAGGGAAGTTAATGGCCTCAGCTTTTGGTTTCAATGGCTTCTATGCGTGATTTTAGCTGACCCTCTATATCCTCCTGATTTGACAATCCCCTCGTTTCCAGCATGAAAAAAAAATAATTCACTGTGAACCAATATCGCATGGATGATGGCATCATATCTGCCGTTGACTTTTTAGACCAACTGGGTGACCAATCTTCATTGAACAGCCAGATATCAGTTTACCTGCAAATAAACAATGCCGTTATTAATAAGAAAGTTTGAATTTAATGCATGCAACATTTCACAGTTCTAGCATCATTCCTTCATAGTCAGCCTATGAACTTTTCAGCCCAACCTCGTAGATTTTTCACATCGTCATTCCTGAAGAATATATATTGGCCCTATTAGAGTCATTTTCAGACCTAATTATTATATTTTTTTTTTGTAGCAGGGCTTCTGAATAAGTGTAGACGACGCAAGAGGATTCTCCCCAAAATGCCATGCAAATGACTTTCGTTCATCTGTAGATATGCAAATATTTTCGTAAGAACATTGATTTTATTCCTGCACAAATTATAGCACTTATTTTCCAATATTCTCTCCTTGATTGAAATCAACAGACAATGTTCTCAGCTGGCATGAAATGGAAAGGCTATATTGAATCTATTGCTAGGTCAGCTGGTTCCCTATGCTTGGCGAGACATTTTTTCTCGCCGGAATCTATCTTACATATCTATAAGTCTACCATTCGCCCATGTTTAGAATATTAATGCCATAATATGGTCCGGTGACCCTGCCATTTACCTGGAACTCTTTGATAAGTTTCAAAGAAGAATCAGCCATATTATTGGTCCTGATCTGGCGGCTCGGCTTCAGTCACTTGCCTCTCTGTGTCTTTTTTATAAATACTTTCATGGTAATTGTTTGGATGAGCTCTACGCTGGGGTACCGACACTGTATGAATTTATCAGCAATACTAGATTGGCATCGAGATCTCAATAATTTAAAGTTGAGGTAGATAGATGCTGCCGTAACTTCTGTGCTGACAATTTCTTTTCTCGTGCCTCTCGTCTGTGGAACTCCCTTCCAGCCCCGTGCTATTTAGCCAACTTTAATCTGTAAGAGTTTAAATGCAATGTCAATCGCCATCTACTGTCCTCTTGATTGCTCTTTTCTCTTTCTACTCATTACTAATTTTATTCTGTCCCTAATTCCTACACACCTTCTTATTGTAACTTCTTATTTGTTACTGGCTATAATGCCTTGCTTGGGTGATAGGGATCAAAAAATAAATAACGACAGCAGACAATATAATGTATATAGATTTCTTTCAGAAGTGAAAAATATTCAATGATGATGACATCGACGAAGGCAGTGTCGGTGTTAGTTTGATTCTGTCACGCACTTTCCGATCTATAGCTTCAGACAGGTGAGATTTTTTTTCCATTTCTCATCTTATCATACGGAGATAATTTTCTCATAGCCTGGGTTGACGAGGACGTGGCGCATTGGTTTTATTTGCATTATGTATAAACTACCCAACCTGCAATTCACATCACAAAGCGTATTTTCTATTTTATGCCAGCTCATTCCATCTTTAGATTCATTCAGTCACTCATTAATATAAAATCCGACAATTCTTGTGTTTCTGAAATACCAGAGAGTGTGAAGTCATTGTAAGTTAATTTTCCTTGAGTTTTATCGTAAATTTAGCGATTCTTCATTAGTATATTTAAATTATATGCCAAATTTTAAATTTAAAACATCGTATCTATTTACCTATGTCTTTGTAAGCAGATATATCATATCGGCACATTCGGAAAGATCAAGTCGACATACTATTCATATGCCTGGTTCAGTATCGCTTTTTGAATCGATTACATTTTTTTAGAGCAATAGAAAATTTGGGAAATTTCTTTGTGATAACATTTGGAAGAAAATGATTTTAAAATTATGAAGTTAAGAAAAAAAAACTAATCTCAATTAAAGTCACATTTGTTAAATATACAGCGACAAGAAAATTGCTTATCTGAAAATAGTAGACAAATTACCAAACAATGTTTTTGATAACCTATAATAAGCAGACAGCATAGCAGCCATTTTCTTTCGAAATCGGAATCGATCGAATAAAATTATTTTGGAAGTCAACACATTCAGTCTAAGTTGTTCAGAATTAGATCTAATTTTAACAAAGACTCACAGACCTAAAGTATCGCACTGGTATTTATATATGTAAACATCAAGAGAAAACAAATTTGATGCAACGTCATTTAGTTGGGTTTGGGGTAGTGTTTTGTTCCGAAAACTTTTCAACACGCCTATATCTTTAAAAATTGTACACATTGTGCAAACGTATGCTATTTAAAAAATCGTTTATATTTTTCACTCTCTCTTTTTCCACTCTCTCTTTCTCTTTCTCTCTCTCTCTCTCTCTCTCGCCCTCTCTCTCTCTCTCTATCTCTCTCTCTGTTACCCGGTTTTTTTTGTTTGCTTCACTTACATTATATGTTCCATAATGGTGTCAAATTTTCGAAACCTTCCTTTTTTTCATTATGTATCTCCAAAATTGTTATTAATATTTTTGTAGTTTCTAATCTCCTGAAAAATCCTTCTTTTTTTTTAGTATGCTCTGTTCATGATATTCTCACTATTCGTCTGTCAAACTTGTTCCCTGACACTTCAAGTATTCTTTTGCCTTGTGACGGAAGTGTCCAGTTTTCACTGCCATAAAAAGCGTAGAAATCTCGTACTAGTCCTTACATCTTTTCTTCGTTTTTAAAGTTATTTTCTTACTTTTAATATCGTAGTCAGTTTTAGAAAAGTATTTTTCGCCATTCCATTCGATATTTTGTGCTACTCACTACATCGTCCCTTATTACAGTATCCAGATTATTGCACTTCTGTACCAACTTGATTTTTGTGGCTCCGGTGTGTTACTCACATTATGGACTTTTCTAGCTCATCTTTTTACACAAATAAATGGAGTTTAATATTTCAATAAAAATATTTTATAACTATTCATATTTATTATTTTTTGACATTCGGAAACGCAATGTTTTCGTTTCCTTTGCATCGAATTCGTATCCCCTAGCATTCTGATGAAAGACACGACGTCAAGACGGGCAGTAATTCTTTATTTTATATTGTTTGATTTTGCGTGAAAAAAATTATGGATTGAGAAGGTACTCAAGGGAGATAATGATTAGATTATTCTGATTATTATGTTTATCTTTGTCATTTTCAATGATTTCAGATTTTCATCTCATCTTTTATTGATTTCACAATTCATATTTGATATTTGAAGAAGTTCGGAAATGAATTATTTTCCTGATTTCATAAAATATTTTTTCTAGTCTCTGAATAGTTTCCATTTTGTCACCCTATGAAATCCAGGTTTTTCATTATCCTATGCAGTATGTAAACCATTCTATTTTTCTTTTTTATGCTAATATCTAAGATGAATTGATTGATTCGTTTTTTTTTCTACGGCTTATCACCCCTTTGCAGGTTAGTCAAGAAGCAACGTTGCTTAACTTCGATGATCGTACGGGAACAAGTGTTTCAATGTGATGTAAAACGTCAAAGTGTTTTTAGTGTATTTAATCAGACTATTCGAAAGAAAAGAAAAAGTATTATGAATGGCAAATTTCGATCCGTAGCTCTCTGTTTACGTTTATAAATTTCAATACTTTCTTTTTGCTTCTTCTTTGTATATATATATATATATATATATATATATATATATATATATATATATATATATATAAGTAGAAATATACTGTTATGGTGTGCTATATTTATGAGACATAGTGCCCAATATCAGAGACAGAGCGTATCTAAATATAAAAGTGAACATTGAAGTCAACAGTCAGAGGCGACAGAGGCTAGATGCAATCGTCAGGCCGCCTCTCAGCATACGTTAACAATATTATATATGAAAATAAAAGTAAGCATAAGATAATGTGTCTGTCCGATGAGTCGAAATTCATTAAATAACGGCGCAAGCAACAAGACAAATATTCGGGAAGTTTATATAAAATATTATGTAACAACAAATAAGTTAACTGTAAAAACAACAAAAGGACAAAAGAATGACTATGAAAATATATACATTAATCATGGATCGATAGAGTTCAAAGCCATAAAAATGAAGGGGGGGGGCAATCAACAAAGTTCCTCTCTTTCCTTTGTGGAATGGTGTATACAAACTTTGGTAGGGTTATGAAGTGTTTATCAATGAAGGCGAGGGTGAATCAAACGATACTTATCTTGATTCTTCATATTTACTATTATGGGAATCTTGGCCGTTTTTATATCTTTTCCATTCTTTTCAATTTTGTTTTTATTCATTTTTTTTTATATTCTCCTCTCATTTTGAGATCAGTTTCTCTGTGTGTCCCCTTGATTTTTCTTCATTCGTATTTCCACCTCGTGCCCTCGGCGTGTTATTGCATAATCCAAGCAAACACGTGGTTCAAATCTCCACTAGCTTCGTTCTTTACAGTTGTCTTTGCCAAGACAAGTTTTCACGATGAGGACCTTTCGTTAAGTTTTAATTCTTCCCCCACTTCGTCTGGGACATTGCATATCGTCATCCGTTTTTCGCAATCCACAGCCGCTGCTCTCTTTATACTACAATCAATAATGGAATACATTTCTATTTTAGAAGTATATGTTCAGTTTACTTATTCATACACTAAATCTGTGAGCAAAATACGCCCCTGTGAGCTTATTATTTCTGAATAAAGTATAAACACTATATATATATATATATATACAAAGAAATAATCACGCATAGAATCAATCAGAAGTATTAATGCGATTACTGGCGACATCCATCGCTAGAAACATAATATATGCATTAAAATACTGTTAATCCATAGAGTGAAGTGATCCTCGTCGATAAACTTGATGTCTGTAGTTTTCAGTTTATTTGATGTTAAAATGCTAGTACTTACGAATAGTCCTCTATTCATCATCAGGCATGTGTTTTTTTCCTTATAAAATCAAAAACTTGAAGACGATATACCTGTATGTCGACCGAAAGATGTTTTTTGAATATCTGCTATTATTGACGGTTGTGTAATCTCGGAACGTGCAAAGACGCAACGCTAAGTTTTTCAAAATTTTAGGTGAGAATTTTATTTAAATATTTCTTGTGATGTGTTAAATCCACGTATTCTATTTTTACAAGTGTATTCAGTTTTTATGTCATGAACTAAGTATATAGTTCAATAATATAGTGTAATGTCTTAGTAGTAGTTTTTTTTATAGGAATTTTTATGTACTGCGGATCGATAGTTTTTTATAAACATAAAACATTAGGCAGCATATAATTTACATACAAAGAAATAATCACACATAGATATATAAGACAATTTTTACGTTTATGCATTCTTTTTTATAGATACAAATATTTAAGTAAATGCTCTGTTTATAATAAACAGTATTAAAGGAAATTTACCGGCCTGAATGTCCGAGAAATTTTCACAGAATATATTTGTCCTCCGACAGGATTCGAACCTGTATCCTATACGGAACTGACATTTAGCTTGACGTGTCTTAACCGATTTGGCTACAGAGTAACTTTCGGTTAGCAAGGTCGAATTTAATGTCTTTAATCTTCAATCTTCCATGAATCTCTCATTACATTCATATCTGCTCAAAGCGTATCCAAATGTAAACAAATGACGTCACACATTATGAAATGGACATAGTGCGACAATTATTTAAGACATTTTTATGTTTATATATATATACACTAGATCATATTATATAAATATATATATATATATATATATATATATATATATATATATAAAATATTATATATATATATATATATATATATATATAAAATATTAGATCATATATATATATATATATATTATATCCAGAACTATTCACAGAAATTACAAAAAAATCTAGACCTACTTAGCAAGCATGATAAACTGAAAAATATACTAAAAACAACCAGAATAATTAAAAGCGAAAGCCAATCTAAAAACCTAAAACACATATTAACCTCATCCAAATTTAACCAACACACAATACAGTTAGTCACAAAATGCAACAAAAAATGATGTGGTTTTATTACATCATTATAGAAAAAAAATCCTACACTTTTGAAAACCCCAAAACGACATTCATAATAAATAAAAAGTTAAACTGCAACTTTAAAAATGTGGTTTATGTACTTAAATGCACAAAATGCAAGACGTCATATATAGGCATCAGCCAACAACTGAACAACAGGGTCTCTCTACACAAAAGCAATATAAAATTGACAGACAACAGAAAACTTTTTGTATCACAACACATTTTCAAATGTAACCAGGGTAAATTTAATATCATGCCAATGTATCAAACAGACAATTATTCTTACCTACAAATACAAGAAAAAAACTTCATAAAGAAATTTAAACCCGAAATAAATAGATCATAAACCCACACGCAAAAAAAAACACAAATCATGCGCACATAATTGCCAAATACGGTGATCAAACCACTCGCATGCATACACACATACATGCGGCTGTCTGTGGGGTACGAATACATATACACATATTGACAAAAGCAAGAGACTACTCATAGGCATGAGCCTAAACCCCACACAACTTAGGAAGTATATGTATGTGTATGTACGTATATATGTATGTATGTGTGCGTATGTGAGCATACTGAGTCCTTGTAACTTGGGAAGTATATGTATATGTATGTACGTATATATGGATGTATGTGTGTATATACTGATTCCTTCTAACTGGACAGTATGTGTATGTAGAGCAGAAGTGCGCGTATGCATACGCATGCTGATATATAAATACGCAAATAGACAAAAACAAGACTGCTCACGGGCACACACGCGAACACTACATAACATAGTAAGTGTGTGTATGTGTGTGTGTTTATGTGTGTTTATATGCGTGCGTATATGTGTGTATGTGTACAAATGTGTTTACTAATTCCTCGTAATAAGTATGGAGAGGGAACCTACGTATACATACGCATGCTGACAAAAACAAAATAAATGGAAATAGATCTAAGAACACACAAGGGTCATAAAAGATAAGAATGCCGATAACTCCTTCACCATTTCTCGGACCAATCTTAATTGTTTTATAACCCTTCACGCAGAACTTTTTCACTCCTAATTCAGCAAGACATTTGGTTCACTCATACACATAAAAGAGAATGTCTCATATCGTGACTATTTAACATCGAAAAACATAAGAAAAAAATTAATTATTTTTAATAATATGTGGAAATTTCCACGCTTTGCTAAATGAAAGCCGCGAAACCAGAAACATTTGCGGTTTCTCTCTTCTTTTTAATATACAGACTTTTCTCTCGTTGGAACTACTATAACCTCTTCCATTTATATATATATATATATATATATATATATATATATATATATATGTTGAAACTTGACTAATGCATGGAATAATAATGCAACACAAAATGTACTTAGAACAAAATGTATTGAAACAAGAAAGTGTACACAATATTTACATATAGTCTTTTGTATATTCCTGGCAAGACCGTTCCTGGAGAATATGTTGACTGAGTCGCAGTCGGGCAGAGTCTCTGGTTGAATCTCTTGATTCCTGTATTTATCTATCCACCCACGAGGATAAAATGTGGCACAAGGCCGGTTTAAAGTGGGTATCTCCGAGCCCGTAGGCTCGGCCAAAATATGGCCTTTCTGAACCCGCCTAGACGGGTTCAAGGCCTGTCTACCACCCGGACGAAACCCTGCCTCTCGGCAAAGCCTCGTCCGGGTCCCTCACTGCAAAATGCAGAGAGTTCGACTGAGAGTGAATCTCTTGATTCCTCCCTCTCTTCCCGGTACCAACCATATTTATATGGTCGGTACTCCACTATGCAAATTAGGTGGATCCTACCACAACAATATATAATGTTAATGTCAATAATCGACTGGTGTAAAAAAAAACGATAGTAAAATTTCCAAATAAAAATTTATTAAAACAAATTGGTATCTGTGAAAAAATTTGTAAGAAAAAAGACTAAAAACATCTGAGTAGTCCTAGGTTTCACCTAAATGGATCCCCAGGGTAAGCTGCCTCACTAGTATATATATATATATATATACACCAATTGGGAAAATATTAGATCACAGATGAAAATAAATGTTTAAAAGCACCCATTTTTCTGACCAAAATAATAACAGATGTCAAAAACTCGGAAAATGCTTTTCTACAGGCACGAATGTCGGTCAGAGTTTAAATATGTACCGGTTTTTGTGCTCGATACAAGTTTAGATAGAAATTAATGATGCAAAATGTCTTAATCAAAACAAGTAAATTGTTGAACAGACTTCAACATCTCAAAGTAAATATAAGCTTCAGAGAAATGTCTTTGGTGGAATTGCAAAGAAATTCTTTATACTGAATTACAAAAATTTGGACTAACTTTTTTTCATGCAACACTGCGATAAACAATTGGTTAGTTTGAATATATGTAGTTGAAGAGAGAATAGCTTTCGAAATCGATCGCTTATTAACCAATCATTTCTTGTTCCGAATGTTCGATTAATCATTTTTCCACATAATACGTAACTTAATGAACTTTCGTCTGTATATTATATTTTATCATAAGAAATTTCCTAGTAAGCGATTCCACAAATTCAGAAAACACTTTGGATGCATTAACAGAATCAAAAACAGAATCGTTCTTTTAGAATGGAGGAAATAATTTAACTATGTTAATGTGAGGTTATAGAAATTCAGGAAATTATATTATTGACAGGATCCTGCTACTACGAATTAAAAAAAAACATATTTGTCAAGAAAAAAGTTAAAATCTTTATACATCAAGAAATGTCGAATGTCGATAATTTCATTATCTGTCTATATTTCTGAGATGAGGTATTATGTACACTATTTGCATTATTCGGACTATTGCCCGAATATTGGTTGCCGTATTTATCACAACGTTTCAGCCGTTGTACGATCCGGCCTCCTTCAGATGGTTGGAATGTCGAACTGGACCCTTTATTTCGCTCGCTCGTAGACTGTTCTAGTTCTACATGCCATATGTAAAGGATGTCAGTTATCAGTTATCTCCTGTTTAATTTAATCCTGCTTTTAATTCCCTCTCCAAGTTCTCCACCGCCTTAACTCACACTCCTTGGGTGCTGTCACTGGATCAAACTAACGCCTTTATCCCCTGTGCCATGTGTCTTTGAGGACATCTGTGTATGAAACTCTGCGTATTATAAACCTAATGTCCTCAGCCTCTATTTTTACCAGTGCTCATATTGCAATGTTTGCTGTTATCATTGCATGCTTTTTACCAGAGGTCATATAATTTTTGTTGATATTATCGCTTTTCTTTAGCACTCCTTATTACTGGTTCCCATATTGTATTCATTTCTATGCTTGGTCGGCTCAGGAGATTTTTGCGGCCTAGCATATGCGCTGAAGCGTTGTAATAAATATGGCGAAATATGGACAGATACTAAAGAAGTGGAGTTGTATTTAACAAAGATATTCTTACTAATCCTGACTTGTATAGCGAATTCGATCCTCAGTGAATGTCTCTGATTTATTTCATTTTGTTCTTTAGTTGCATAAATTAGAGCATGTCGGGAAATGTTTAATAAATTATTCTCGGCATGGACTGGACAAGATTTGTTCTTGTCAAATATGCTCGTAACCGACTGATTTCATTTAAATGTCTAGCCCTCCCTCTCGGGACGTAGGTGATCATGGTCCTCAAGA